GTCAGCACCGCAAACTCATTCCGTTTAACCTTAAGGTGCATCTAATACTGAGATCCATTTCAGGTCCCTGAAACTTCCGTACTTGGGGAGACCCTATCTTAAAACAGGGACTGGCTCCTTGCACAACACGGCGCTGCTCGCTCAGCTGTCCAAGTTGGGTTGCAACCCAGGAGAACAGGGGGTTGGTCAGAAAGAGGATTAAATCACCGTTTCCCCATCAGTAATGGCAAGGCCACTGCTAATGTTTCCTGTCCTGGGGATGCAGTTTATTTGTGTCCTGGTGTTAGTTTATCTATCTTCTACAGCTGCTCTGGATCTATTATAATGGCGTTTTCTGGTACTCCACTAGTGACTCAGTGGTTTTTAAATGGGGCTTTTAACTACAGTAATGCTATAGTATAATATAAATGGAAATGTTTTAATTCAGATTTGAATTGTGGTGGCTTTTAACTCCTCCTCTGACTAAAATAATTAATACAATAAATTGATGCCAAAATGTCAGCACAGCCAATTTAGAAGTAAGGTATCTTAAGCTGAAAAAATTGGGGTTGATTGTACATGAAATATTTTTCAGCCTTCTAAAGTAACAGCTCAGATGCACTGAATAGCAACCCTCTTCCTTCTCTCACACGCAAAACGTGGTCATTCCTTTTAAAGTTAAAAAAATGTTGAGAACATGCCTTGGAACCACATTTGGAACCACACTGAGAGGTGGTTAACAGGAAACACCAGTTTTGCATATTCCTCATTGTTTATACTGCTGATTTTATGGGCTTGGGGCTCATTCACCCCAAATCAGTAAAAGAAATAGCAACTTTTTCCATGACTCACAAACAGTTGAACAAATATGGAGTGCTTAGGCACCAGTTCGTGCCTTCCCTGTTCCTTGAAATCAAAACATTCTCACAGCTGGTTAAAAAAGCACTTTGGTCATAGCTCTGGTCATAGCTCTGGTCACAACAGTGTTAGTAATTGAATACAGGAACTAAAAATGTTGGCCCTGCAGTCTGCTGTCTCTGCTTTTATATCCCATTCACTGTGTCGATCAGGTACTGGAGAAGACACAACCATGTGTTTCAATAAGATAAGTTAGCCAGACACAACAACCTCCATTAAAAGTTGTATATGATTTAGGGATTTGAGGAGAGACTTCCACCTGCTTAGTCGTCTGAAAACAATCATTATTGAAGGTCTTTCACCATTTTTGTGAAAGATAGACACTTCATTCTCAACATCTCTTTCCCCAATGCAGTAAAAGACATTTGAAATGTCAAGTATTGCTTCATTTAAACAGCCTTTGTACTTAGGAGGCTGCTGAGAGATTTCCTGAGGAATAGTCCCTTGTTGGCCAGTCCCCTGAGGGGTAGTATGGTGATGTGGTGTCTTTTTGGAGGAAAGGTTGGCTGATGTTAGAAAAGAGTACTATCCTTTCGCCTGTGAAATCTTGAAACAAGACAAACATGCAGAGATGGCGAGAGAGAAGAACGGCAAAGACAGAAAATGCAGCTCTATTTGTGGTGAGGATTTTTTTATTATTATTATTCTCAGCTTCCCTGCAAGTTAAATGCAGGTCTATTACATATAGCCCTATTAGACTTTCTGCCATCCCATAAGCTCAGGCCCACATGGAGCTTTCAAGCCCATCCATCCTACTGGCTTGTCAGTCACCGGCTCACAGCTATCTGACAAAAAATACAGACTTGGGCAGGCCTAGAAAAGAAAACAAATAATAACACGAGAAAGAGAAAAGAGAAGGGAGACTCAGATCTCCCACTCAAGACAGTTTTCAAGGCATAGCTGAATCCAAAATAGCTGGCAGCATCTTGCTGACTGTAGTAGCTGGGTCTGCACTGCTCTATTTGGTCACCAAGGCTGGCCCAGTGGGAGCCCCCCAACTGGAACAGACCGTCTGTGGCTCCTTGGGGCCCAGTGACTTCTCCAGAGTGTGCCAGATACACTCCTACCACATTTTATATACATGCCTGAGCTTGTGACATCAGTCCATGCAGCATCCTCAGCAAGGCTGGCAAAATGGACGGCAGAGATGGTGCAGATGCAGCTCCTCTTGCTGACCTCATCTGGATGAGGGCCTTCAGCCACATATTTGCTTTCTGTTTTGCTACTGGGCATGTTAATTTGGCCCATAATCATGACAGGGTGATTTTACAGCCCCTAAAGGTGGTGTCTGACAGATATATGAGGGTAAAAAGCCTGCTGGAGAGCCATCTGAGGCAGCATGAGCCAGCCCTGTTGCAGCCTAGTCCATACTGCCTGCAAGGATGTGTCTCTGGAGCAAACTGTCCCCTGAAGCATGCCTAGGTTGTGTACAGGAGAGACCCAGTCCAAAACAGAGTCTGGCAGAGGTGAACGTTGCACAGTGTGGATGATGGGTGTTTCAGCAGTCCAGTTTGGTCCCTGGCACTCTCTTACTGAGTGTTATAAATGTTTCCTGTGAATTCCAGGAGTTAGCATTCAGGCTAATAAATCTGTGCCATCCCATTCACATGCCTCCTGGCTTCTGCATTTAACTGAGTATCCTAAAACGGGAGAAGTAGCCTATTTTCTCTAGGTCTTACCCACCAAGGAATAGCTAGATTTCAGCATACAGTTATGGACTACAGATTTTCTCATCTTGCAATTACCTTATCTGATAGATCTGAACTCAGGCCTTGGCTTGAATTAATTCAGTGTATCTATCTGAAACATTCTTGTTATTTCTTTTAAAAAAAAAAAAAGTCCTGCACTATTGACTTCAGCTCCTATGCACAACTGTGTAATTGTGCAGTTACTAGCTGCTTCAACTTTATCGAAATATCAGCAAAGCCAAATGACCTGAAAAACCTAATGCCTTTGTTATTAAATGATGATCTCACCTCGTATCCCTTAGCTCATTCTCTCTAAGTCAGCCTTGAGGGAAGAAGGGTGGGAGATTTTGGGCTCTTGCCAATGTCCTATGAAAGAGCAATTTATTTTTCATTATTTAACAGACAATGTGGAAAATACAATTACCAGTGGGATAAAAAAAACCATGGTTTATGTAAGTAGCAGTGGGAAAACTGGTAGACCAGAGGTGGGACTAATCCCTTAACAGAGAGGGGTGAGTAATAGCAGCTGAGTCAGACAGAACGAGACCTCACTGGATGCTGAGGATGTCTGCAAGGTGCTGAGCATCTCTGCTCCCAGCAGCAGTGATCACTGTGGGCAGGCAGGACCTACGTGAGCTCTGAACCCTTCACGTGCTGGAACCTATGAAGATAAGGAGTAGTAAAGACAATTTGAAGGAGTCAAGACAAAAAAAGGGACTGCTTGAATTTCTAATGAAAACTGATCAGAGTAGCATTGTTGCTAACTGTGTAATTAGAATTATCCTTGAGCAATGTATTATTGAAGTTAAAAGATACTCCAGGGCAGTCCTACACAAAAGGAAAAAGAATCATTACCATACATTTATTTAAAAAGGCCATATAACCTAATCAAGAGCCTTATTAATCCAGAAACAATACTAGCTAGAAAGAGACCTACGTCCAATGCTCAGTTAAGATTGTGCCACCTGATAGCTCTTGTTAAAGGTATGCAACATCAGGACAGAGTTAATATGCTATTTTTCAGTGAAGCCATCCTTACAGAGCTTGCAGCTTCAAGTTGCAGCTTGTTTCTCCAGCTTTCCCAAGAAGGCCACATAAATAGAGGATGAGAGGCACTTTGATTCTGAATCTTTTTCCTAACTATTCATACCAAAGGAAACAATACAGATGGACAGCTAATGCATAAACTGTGCTCTTAGGTTTGCAAAGCAAAGTTGTCTCCTTTTAGATATTCCCTTTACAACCTTCTTTCTCATGTGCTGTCCCGTTGAGGCAGAGGTTACCTGCTGCGTGATACTGAAGTGCTGGTAGGTGGTTAACCAGCTGCTGTTCCCTGCTCTTCCCATCACACTTGGAAGGGCTCCAATGGTCCCAGTGACCTGCTGCTGCCGAAGAGGAGCGTTTGTGATGTGTTTGTGTGAGCTACCACCTCCTCACACAGGGTGCCTGGGTCTACGTGAAGTCCCGGTGCTGGCCTTCCCTCACACCCTCCTGGGGCATTCCCGGTCTTGGAAGGAAGGAGTAGAAGGATGAAAATAAACTATGCTACTGATTCCAGTCAGATGTTCCCTTTTAAACGCAGACTTGACAAATAATGCTTTATCAGTATCAATGCACATCAGTGACCACATTGTTCAGTCTTGCATTTGGGAGTGCTTTCCAATTAAAAGCAAATCTCTGAAAGAGACTTTCAAATTGGTTTCATTGAAGAAGAAGAAATGAAGGGAAGCTACTTGAGATCTGACAATAGCTGAAGTGATTTGTAAGCATGAAGCATGCGAGATAACATTTAATTAACAGCAGCAAAAATAGAACATCGCTTTGAATTTACGTAAGTTCTCTTGTTCTATGTATGCGCAATGCCTTTGCTTTAAGTTTCTCTTCTTATAAAACTGTGTTAACCCTCCATTCCTACAGATAACACTCCGGTCTCAGGTTGGGTAGCATTTCCCTTCCTTTTTTCAGAAATTCCATGTTCACTAGTAGGGCTTGCCCCAAGCTGTATTTTCCAACACTCTCAATCTGGAAAAATTTTCCTGGAAGCAATAAAAGTGACTATTTGTTTAGGAGGAATGATAAATACGTCCTTATATTGCAGCTATGCAGAAGCTTAGTTACTGACTGCTGCCTGACTTAGAGACAGGCTTAGCCAAGTAGTACTCCACAGCAGATAGAGTAACTAGGGCACCTACAGGTCAGATGATCATCAGAGATGATCATCAGTTCAGCAGAGCAAAATAGGCAGTTTTTTGGCACTGTTCACCTGATGCACATCAGCTGTTGCTGCAGAAAGGCACGAGCTGCAGCTCTTAAACACCTCCTGCCCACTGCCCAGCATGGGTGCCCAGCAGCACTTGTGTGCCCTGGGGTCATCCACCACCATTGATTCGGGAAAGGTCTCAGCTTGGAGCCTACCTCCCAGGCCCACGCGTTGACACGTCCCAAAGCCCTGGTAGCACATCACGCGATCACTCCGGCGCTGGCCACAGATGGGGAGCCCCTTCCCGTGCCTCTGCTCAGCGTGGCCTGGCAGCACGGCTGTCTGCATCTGGTTACCGTCCCACATCGGGGTGCCAGAGTCCAGGCACCACCAAATTTGTCCTCACATTCACACCAGCTGCCTTGGACGCCTGCTCCAGCCTGTCAGGAGCCCGCCTCTCCCTTCGTGTTAAGGTTAGCGAGCTGCCGCTCTCCAGAGACATCGTTGCTGCCACCTGTTTCAAGACCCTCTGTGACACCTGGTCGGTGTTAGGATGCCAACTTCCCAGTGGAGATGTGTGACATTGGCCCAGGTGCCCTCCCAGCCACTGCTCTCTCCAGGCACCCTGTGATGCAGCAGGTGTTTGGGAGCTGGAAAGCTGCACCTGCTGGAGGCACTGGATACTGCCCAACCCTGGGTTGCAGCCCTTCTGACTGTGGTGCTCCAAATGCCACCGGGCAAGGCCCGGAGCAGCCTGATCTAGCTTTGAAGCCAGCCCTAAGATGATCTTTCCAGCCAGACCAGTTTGGTGAGGCTGTGGAACAGTGAGCAGCAGCGAGCTGTTGTCCACAGAGGCCCACCTGCAAGGCTCCCACTGAGGGACGGGCATTAGCCATCCTGCCCTGGAGCAGTGGACCTTGTCTCCAGGTGGGTAGGGGCTGCCCTCCCTTGCAGGAGCTGTGTCCCCCAGCTGCTCCTGGCTAGCGTGCAGCCAGCTGAGGGCTGCCCCAGCTGCATTCAGCTGTTATCTTGAAAGATGCTACTTGGAGCAGTACAAAATAGCGCCAGGGAGCAAGCTAACAAACTTTGTGGGTCCCTGCTCAGTCTTTGAGCTGATTCCCTAGCATATTTTTATATAGGAATTTGTCACATTTCACTATTGTTCATCTGTGAAAGGATTGCTCTGGAACAACTCCTGTAAGACCTGGTCAATGTAAGATTGGTGAATTATGAGAATTAAGACTGGAGAGATCGTATAACTGAGCAAGATCACATAGCTGTTACAGAATTAACAGATCTGAGCTCTCCTTTCTGTTACATGAAGAATCAGACTTTCTCCATGGTCGTAAATTCCCTCTTTCCCTGTTTCACCGTGAACCTTCCCACCAGTTTCCCCTGCTGATGTTCTGCTGGAGTTTAAAAAAAATAGTAAGCATCCCACACACAGCTTACGCCCTCTCCACTAGACCATGCTGCTTCTCTCTGCTGCTTTTATGACAAACGCGCGCAAGTTTTGCTATCGTGTCCTCTTTCCTTTTTTGGTGAGGTTACCATGGTTTTAGTTTTACTACAATTTTGAGCTTTGCAAAGTCATCACATGCTATAGTACACCTCTATGTATTAGGAAACCTTAACCAAGCCACATCCTGATCTGAAAAACAGCAGTAATTAATAACAATAGTAAGTAATCAGTTGTATAAGAATTAGCAGTTAATCAATTAGTAATTAATAATTAATAGTTATGCATAGTAACTAATAAGTTGTACAAGAAACAAACATATGTACGGTCTGTTTGGGGGATCTTATCATCCAGAATTAAGCAGTGCTACAGTTTTTGTGACAGTTATTTTAAAGTCAGTGGGAGAACTGCTGGCCTTTCAGTGATAGGGTATCATGCATCAGGGCAGTAATATACTCATACCCCTGCATTACAATGAACCAAAAAGAGGGAGCCTGGCCTTTTCCAATTGATTTTCCTTTTGAATTTGATGCAATGCAGGCTCTGAAGTCTGCCTGACTTTGATTTATCCTCTATAAAGTATGCAAATATACTCTTGCCAGATCTTTTCCCCCTCCCGTCCCAGTTTTCTCTGCTCAGACAGTAAGAGCAATGCTCCAGAAAAGCCAGGATATGGGAATAAATTCTGATGGGTCATGTTTCTAAACCAAGCTGATTTGGAATAAGAAATAAGAATAAATGAAAAACACTGGGGCAAAACCCCAAGGATTCAGTCTAACCCATTCTTGATTATTGATAGGATGATCCAAACTCCATTTCCACTGCATTCCCAGCTCCCCGGGAAATTGTACCTTAGCCTGAATGTAAAGAGATTGACAGTTCAGGTGGGCTGAGATTTAGCATTTTTCTTATTTTCTTAATCCCCATTATCTATGTTCAAACCCACCAAATTATGACAGTAAATATACAGCAATTTCCATGTTTTGTGAATAATCTATTTCTAACATAGAAAATATTATATTTGGAGGGTTAGAGCTGATACTGCTGTGATGACAAATGGATCAGTCAAAAACAATCTCCCTCCAAAGATAGCTACATGTTTTGATATAATGAGATGATAAACATATGTGCCAGCTGCAGTAAGAATGAGCTATACTATACAGGGATAACTCTAAAGCTTCCCAGATTTACCTTTTCTCTGCCTTTTAGTTTGAGAATCCAGTTCTTCCTGTCTCTGAGCTGGCTGTTTCTACTTTTCATCATCTCTCCTTCTCAAAGGAGCTCTTATCTACCCTAATAGGAGTCTCTGTTAACCAGCAATTGCCAGTAACGTTGCTTCTTGTCCAAACTGCGGTTCAACACAGGAGCTTAGAGCAGCATGAAGACGCGGGATTTTTCCTACAATAGACTGCCTACCTGTTCCCAAAGGTGAGGATGGAGCTTGACTGGTTAAACAACCAGAGACCTCATTTGGTTATCTCTTCATTTGGGACACTTTACTTTGTCTCCAAATTAATTGTCATAAGTTCTTGGGTGGAAGGAGGATTTACTTTAACTCTAATTAAATTATGGCAGAACTAGAAGCATGGGTTATCCATCTCCTTTGCCAAGCAGAGAGCCAGGCTTCCAAACCAAACATATTTTTAAGAGAAATCAGAAACTCAGGGCTATGTTCAGACCTCCTCCAAGAGATGCCCAGTTTAATAGCTCAGTTTACCACAGCACCTAAATTTGAGAGAGATTAAAACCAAGAGCTGTGCAGAGATTTTTGCTCATTTCGTCCTGCCATGTCATATCCTCACAGAAGGCACAGTAAAGAGCTTTGAAACTGCCAGTATTTGGTAGGGGTAGTTCCTAGGTCCACAAAACTTGTGGGAGGAGTATCTTTTCCTAATTCAAAAGCTTGTGAAATCTTCTAACAAATGTTGGGTTATAATTGTCTCCCCATGCCCCGCAGCGAAGCTCCATACCTTTTCAGGGTCTGCAAAACTCACGTTTGGGTATTTCTGTTCGCAGAAGGTGCCTGGCTGGGCTGGCAATGTCCCTTGATTCCTGTCTCAGGCTCCTCATGTGAGTCCCCACTGCTGGGAAAAGCAGATTGGGAGCAGGGGAGGTGACGAGGACACAGCCGAGACTCTCAGCTAGTGCCCCATCAGTCTGGCCAAGGCGCTGACATCTGAGATGTCAAAAGGAGCCATCATTGCCCAGCTTTTGTGTTCAGCCAGCTCCAGCGTACTGGAGGTATTTGCTGATATCTATCACTTGGTTAAAACTGAGTTTTCCAAAGACAGTATAATTGTTCTTCAGACAAATTATTAGGACCTTTTATCACCTGTCACTGTGATGATTCTGTAATTTTTATTTTTATTGTGTAATACTCATTCAAGCCCTTTATTATTGCCTTGAGGTCTGAGCAATTCCTCAGGTTATTTGAATAACTGAACTTTACATAATAAGGTTTATGTATGTTTGTCAGTGCCCATATATAGCTCAGAGTGTCCAAGGTACGTGAGGTGGCCAGAGGGTCCAGGAGGTCAGACCGGATGATAAACAGCCCTTAGCTTCTCTTAAGCACTATGAATATGGGAGGAGATGTCAAGCGCAGCCAAGGCCAAAGGACACCTCCCGAGTCTCGGGTCCTCCCGGCAGCGGGAGGTGAGGAGGGGAGCCGAGGCCTGTGCTGGCATGTGTTGGAGGTAGTGACCTCCCAAAGGGGTGGGTGATGGAGGGCGGATGAGATCCCCTCTGAGCTTTGCAGGTTGGAGTTCCCGCAGGGAGGTGACGCTGCAGAAACCTCCAGCCACCGCCTGGGGCTGTCTTGTGCACCAGCTGTGAGCAACGTGTCCGGCATAAAACAGGTATTGTGTGCTCGGCATGAAGGACGCGCTTGGGTCCTTCAAAATGCTGTCTGAGTGCCAGTGAGGAGCCCTGAGTACCAGTTTATAGTGGAAAGGCAAATTTTGGTTATAAAACCACTTGCTTTTCTGTTGAGGGGCAAAGTTATAAAAAAACTATTAGTCAACACTGTAATTGATGGTTTGGTGGTAATTTGCAGCAGCACGGTACCATGAATATCAATTTTATTCATAAGAACAGATAATGAAAACTTTTCATTTTGTAGTGACTCACGTGTAACACACTGCATTTCCTTTAATAGGAAATGATGTGCGTACAAAATCTATAGTTGCTATGATTAGTTGTTGCTGATCTTTAAAGATAAGAAGCAAAGTGAGGAGAAAAAGTGAAAACTGTGTCAATTTATCAACAAGAAAGTTACTCAGATACCAGAAGTAATGAGGCTCTGAATAAAAATGACTATAATGAATCACTTCCTTGAAGTATAATTTAGCTTGTGTTTAGAACTGAGTTAAGTACAGCTTTGAGGTCCTAAGAAGTGTGCATTTCATGAAGAAAAGTGAAATTTCTTTAAGCACTTAAAAATGAGATCGGCCCCGGTTATATAATTGCAGCTGCATAAACTTTATTCTCTGCTGAGCCTTTGGGAGACTCCTTCCTAATTACTGATCGAAAGTCCATGCAATCAGCCTTCTGCCAAGTGAAAAGGGGCATGATTTCACAGGATTGGTGTTAGAAGAGCAGTTAGAAACAAAAGACATTTTGAAAGTAATTTAGACTGCCATTGGAGTGCCAAGGACTGCACTTGTCATTGTTCTGAGTGCTTATTTTCATTGTCAGTCATAAAAGATAAAAATCAACGTTAATTTAGCAGGACAATTCTAACTTTTAAAAATTATTGTGTATTATTATGGTGAGTTGCACATGGCTGCCAGCAAATCTTTGTCTTTCTGCTTTAAGAACCAAGATCCTAATTTGAGGGCCAGGAAGTCACTCCACAAAGCAAGAAGCCATCTCACTGTCTCTAGTCTGTCTTAGTTTCAATTGCTCT